AATGTCTATGTACAGTCAAACTGGGCTATTGGTACTGTCAAGATAATACTTGAAAAGATGATTATAATCATTGGTCACCTTTACAGAATGTTACAAAACAAACTCATCAGCTTGAAAACTAGTCAATAAAAGCAAAGAATAAAGCACTTATCCTACCTTTCCTGAATAATCTGTACTTCAGAATAAGAATAATTGATGGAGGAAAGTTTCCATTTACAGAAGAATTACAGCTAATAATTGAAAACGGAATGATAAAGTTATCAGTTCACCATTTAGCAACCCCTGATGGATCTAGTCAATGGTCATCAATAATAGCTTACATCAAAAAAAGAAAAAAAAAAGAGAGAGAGATAGCAAGACATTATGTGTCTACTAACAGTCATACACAACAACATCTCTGAAGTATTTCTTCTGGAAAATATCAAACCAGGATCTGATCAGACCTCTAGATTCATTTCTAGGAAACACAGAGAATTAGCAAATATGTTAAACAATGAAGGAGGTACAATCTGTAAAATACACACAGTAAGAAATTCCACAGGAAAAAAAAATCAATTTTTTTAAAAAAAAAAATAAAAAAAAAAAAAAAAGAAAAGAAAAGAAAGGAAAAGGGGGAGGGAAGGAAGACGTGAAACCAACAGATTAAAAGATTTAAGACACAAGTCAACCAATCATACTGTATGGACCTTATTTAAATCCTCATTAGAGCATACTGAAAAAAAAAAAGAACTTATGAAACAATCAAGAAAATTTGAACGCTGGATACTTGATATTAAGGAATTTTCATTAATTTTGTCAGGTGTGATGAACTGTGGTCATTTTTTTAAGAGTTCTTATTTTTTTCCCCATACATACTGAAATATGTACAGATGAAACATCGTATCTGGGATACTTTAAAATAATCTGGGGTCAGGGAGAAATAGAGTTTGGCTATGACTGATAACTGCTGAAGCTGGCTAAGAGGTATATGAGAAGTCATACTATTTTCTCTACCTACTTTTATAAATATCTGCAAATCTCCATAACAAAATGTTTTAAAAAATTAATCTGAGGACTGGAAACAGAAATAAAAGAAGCTGCAAATATCCTACAACTGTAATACAAATATAACGTTCACGTACATGTTCTGAAGTGCACTTGGCTCAGCAACATCCACATACAATCAGGATACCAGCACTATCGCCAAACAGATAGGGTACATATATTACTAAGGACTAGAAAACTACAGGTAAAGGGACCTTTCACTACACATAATTTTAAAATAGATATTCTGCTTTCTAAGGTTAGTAACAAACCCCTTCATATTTCTGCAGTATAGCTTAACTGGAATGCCTAGTATTACTCCAATTCCAAACTATTTTTTTCAATTATCTTTCTAAATATAATGACCTATAAAAATGCCTCTATCAAGGGCAATATATTTCAAAGCCCTTGAATACATACACACAAAAAACATATACAAACACACATACACACACACACATACACATGCAAAGCCCAAAGAAACTGACATTCAGACATCATTTCTGCTTTGCAGATGAGCAAACAGAGACTGGAGAATTAAACAATTTGCCTAAAATCATATAGCTACATTACAACTACAAAGTTTTTTGCTCTGAGGTCCAAGGTCTTTTCTATTCTACCACACTGTCATTCAAGACACAGAAAGAAAACCAAAATTCCAACAACTGATTCACCATAAGTCACGGTATGAAAAGCATTCCTGGCCAATTTCTTGATGGAAAGTTCCTTATTTTATTCATATGCTATAAGCAGCACGAACACAATCTAATCTTACAACAGCAATCACCTATTACATACTTACTAAACATTTATACAAGGAGAAATTTCTAGACAAAATACCACAAACCTTTCCTTTAAAAGAATTAATGTATGCTTTCATGTATGCATAAACAACTTCTTTTACTCTGAAGAACTCAAAAATGTGGATTTTAGCAAAAATACTGCATCAGAATCACTATACATCCATTTAAAACTTCAACCATTTTAACTGATTCTTAAATTTTCCTAAAAAAATATTAATGTAAGATTTTCTGCAGTAATTCTTAAGTCAAATAATTCCTCTTGCATGACCTAATATAGGCACTCATTTACACTAATAAGTGCTTTATATGCATGAATTTATTTAATCCACAAAATAACTCCAAGTTCCAAAAATCATTGTTAGTTCCCTTTACAAATAAAAAACTGAGGCTTGGAGATTTTAGGTAACTTTTCGAGATCACAGAGCCAGTATATGGTAGATCTGAGACTTGAGTCAGTCCAGTCTGATGACAAAGCCTTGCTCTTAACCCATCCTCTATTTCAATAAACATTATCTATTTTCAGTTGCCAAAAAGTGCCCTAAGTTACCACATTCCTCTTCTTGTTTCAAAGAAGACAGCCAATCGCAACTAGAATGGCTGCATAGGAAACAGGTTCATTTTGTCATTCATTCGCTTCTCAGCACACACTGGCTCATATTCTCCCTTAGAAATTACTGTATAAATGAAGGTTAAATTATCAGGTCAACCCTCAAAAACTTAACTATCACTTAAAATAAGATTTCTATGCAAAAGTCTGGTGAATTATAACAGGACAACACAACATCATCCAGTCGTACCCAACAAAAAGGTACCCCAAATCCCAAAGGCAACATGAAATTCCTTTCTTGTCTTCCTCAGCACACAACCAGGAATGACTGCACATGTCCTAGTCCCCATCATGAGCTCCATCAGGAGATGAGTTTTAAAGTGTGCCAGTTCCCGTAGAAAGCAGGGACAAAGCCAGGAGGAGAAAAGGGTAGGATACAAAAGCAGTAACATTTATTCATATATATATATACACATATATATACACATATATATGTATATATATACACATATATATATATTCATATATATGAAATGTTACTTTTATATATATAAAATATACATATATTTTATATATATATATATATAGTATATATTTATATTCAAGTCTGAAGCCCAAAACTATTAACTGCTACAGTTCAGTTAAAAAAAAAAAAAAAGTTTTCTGTGAACCAGCCCGGAAATCTAACTACCATATTGTACTTGCAAAGAGATTTGGAACACAACCAGCTTAAAAGTTGGAAACTATCTATACTCACCAAACTCTCTACAATCAAATACCCCTTCTCAACTTTCTGAAAACTAAAAGCCTAGTATTTATGGAAGAGAGAGAAGTGAAGGACTCTTTAACGGCATGCACAGAAACAGCTCTGTACATGAAGTACCCAAATCAGTGGAAATATACATTAGGTCCTTTGGGATGATACCAATAATATCATTCATCCAAGATACTTCAAGTATTCCTTTTTAGTATGGAGTTCTTGAATATGTCCAGATCTTTGGAACTGTGAGATTTGTTTTCTCCTTTTTTTTGTTACCAGGTGCTATGGACTGAATGCTTGTGTCCCCCCAAAATTCATATGCTGAAAACCTCATACCCAATGTGATGTTATTAGGGGATGAGGCCTTCAGGAGTGATTAGGTCAGGAGGGCAGAGCCCTCATGAATGGAATTGGTGCCCTTATAAAAGAAGCCAGTAAAAGCTCCCACCCACTCTGCCAAGTGAGGTCAGTGACAACGCACTATCTGTGAACAAGTAAGTGGGCCCTCACCAGACACAGAATCTGCCAGCACCATGATCTTGGTCTTCCCAGCCTCCAGAACTGTGAGAAATAAATTTCTATTGTTTATAAGCTACCCAGTTTATGGTATTTGTTATAATAGTCCAAATAGACTAAGACATCAGAGATTTTTTTAATGGTTTTAAATAGTTATTTTTATGGGATGTACATAAGCACATTTTGTTGCATTGATCTGATCAGTAAAAAAAGACATACATGTACTCTACTACAATACTGATGAGAAAGTAAACTCATGAAAAGTGTCTGGAGTGCAATTTAGCAATAATTACCAAGAGTTTTATACATGTTCATAGCTTTTGACTCAGTAATTCGACTTGTAAGAATGTATTCTAATAATCAGAGATTGGTTCATGAATTTATTTAACAAGTTATCACAGACTTACTTTCTGCCAGGCATCACTCTTACGAATAAGGATGTTTAATCACATTATTTTACAGCTCCAAAGTTGGAGGAAAAAATGTCATATAACAGTAAGAGTTAACAAATTAAAATACATATAATGAATAAAATATTACACTACCACTGGAAACTACATTATCAAATATCAAAAAATATTTAATAACATAAGAAAATGCTCATATGTTAAGAAAAAAATTTTTTAAACAAGATACAAACCTATATGTAACTACATGTACCTACATATAACTACATGTATGGGATCATACATGTAGTTATATACAGTATGCTTTAGATCTTATTAGTCAGGGTCCTTGGTTAAGTTACTTAACCTTGCTCTACTTCAGTGTCTTCATCTATAAAATGAAGGTTTTACATTTTACATGTAAAATAAAGATTTTATATTTCACATCTTAACGGATTGTCAAATGGGTTCTCTGAAAAGTGTTTATAATATTCCCCAGCACATATAAAGCATCAATAATTATTTGCTGGTGGTATACACATACAGATGCGAAGAAATATTTCAAAATATTACCAAATATCCTGAATTCTAAGGCAATCAGGAAATTTGAACACTATTATGAGATACTAAAAATTATTTTATAAGATATAAAAAATTATTTTATGAGGTATAAAATTATTTTATGAGGCATTTTTTGTTTTTTAAAAAGTCTTTATAGCAGACAGAAGTATTTATGAGTAAAATATGATACCTAAAATTTGCTTTAAAATACTTTGGTGGGGGGCCTACATGGAGAGTTTTGGGTTCTTTTTAATTTTTAATGTTATCAGAAGTAAATTGCCCCTGGGTAATAGAATTGTTACTAGCTTTGCTTTATATTTTCCATTTTCTAAATTTTCTACAGTGATTAAAAATTATTTTTAAAATTAGAAAAATGTTTTCAAAAATTTTAAGACAATCCTTACCAAGACTCCATCCACAGATGAAACTTTCTCCCAAGTTAACCAAGCTCTTTCTCTGACATGATCTGGTATCCTTAATTTCTGACATAATGCAGTAAAATCAGGTTCTTCAGTTTCTTCAAACTCAAGCCTACCAAATGAAAATATACATGTAATAGGCACATACTTACAATCAAATTAATTAAATATTTGTTTCAATATTTTGCATATAATAGCACTATCCTGAAAGAAAGCATCACTAAATACTTTAGGATCTTGTTTATCTTTGAAAAAAATTACACTTAGAATTTAAACATATGTTTATCTTCTTCGGTCTTTCCAAAACAAGAATACCACACAGCGAAAAATGTCTGCTGGTCTGGTGAATCACGTACTTTAGAGCAGCAAAATAGCCTTGTGAAGGAAAGTAAGTACAATAGCTAAAACTGTTTGGGAAAGCTGGGATGATACTAGCCAAGAGGAAAGCCTTAGATAATATTACAAAATCAATTCAATATCAGTAACTTTGCTAAAATACAATCAATGTTTCATTTAATCTACCTACTAGTATTTCTTACATGATGACCAAATTCAGCCTTTTCTTCTTGATCTTTCTTAACCAAGACAAGCAGTCAAAAAATTCTTCTTCCCTAATTCTTTTTCATTCACTTAACGTCTATTTGACATCTAATAATAATAATAGTAGTACGAGGCATAGCTTACAGTTTTTTAGTATTTGCTATGGCCCCATACAAAGTACCCTGGATGAAGGTAGACAGAACCCCACATCAGCCCTATTAGGTAAGTACTCTTATTATCCTTGTTTTACAGATAAGTACCAAATCAGAAAAGTTAAAAGTACTCACCTGAGATCACAGCCAGTAAATGGGAAACCCTGATATAAACCCAATAACCTAACTCTATAATCCATGCCCCTGACCACTATTCCAGACTGCCAACTCTACTTCGAAACATAATTACCTTTTGGTTATCTCAAGAATGAAGATGGTATGTTGTTCCTAGTGATGGTTTCCCTTACAACTGTATCACTTAAGCCAGAGATAATACAGTAGCAGGAAGACCTCAACTCTCAAAGTAGACATGGGCTCTGTCACTGGAAATGCAGTTGGACTGGGCCCTGAATCCATCCCAAGTAAGTTTCTCGGCTTCAGATTGCCAGGCAGTGGTTCTATCCTTGTTAAGTAGTTAACCTGTAGAGTTTGATAGCCCATGCTAAGGAAACATTTTATGGGTAAGGATAATCAAGAACAGACTGCATGGTTTTGACTTACAGGAGAATTTTTGATAGTTCCATCATTTAAAGGTATATAAAATACAGTTTTGCAAAATAAAAGAAACAAAGTCTCTTTTCCCAGGTGATGGCCAGAACTTCAATATTTCTGGTTACCCTACAATAATCAAGAATGCTTCCAAGCTCTGTGGATAACATGGGGTTCTTTACAGTAGACTTCACTGCACTTTACAAAGGGAAACTGGAAAGTACTGTATATATCAGTCTAATCAGAAACGAATGTCTTCTCCCAGAACATCCCTGGGCTTTTTTTTTTTTTTAAACTAGCGAGAATGATTTTTAATGAATACATAAGACAGTCTAAGTATATGCATTTCGAATAGCTTTTCACAAGCCATTTCCAAAGCCCATTCCAATCTTTAACAATTTGTCCCGAATTCTGTTAGTGTCTGGGGAGATAAGAGAAATAGGACTTGCTGATAGACTAGAACTGCAGGAGGGAGTACTGAGGGACAGAAAGGTGTCCCATTCCCTTGAAACTAATGTGTAGTCTCAAAGTAGGGCTAGTGCTGACAATAATAATGACAACTGTATTCGTTCAATCTTGGGTTCTAACCATAAAGCATCACAATCAAGAAAAATAAGCTGCTGCAATATATATCTCCTTGTCATATTCTGCTGCATTATCATGGACTTGCTTAAATTTAGAATCCACTTAGGAGAAAAAAAATAATTCCATATGAGCACAAAAACACTAATTTTGTACTCAAACAAACAAAACAAAAAAGGAGGACACCAGGATCCTCGCTGGCTCAAAGCCAAAACGCAAAATGGAAGAAATAATGAGGCACGCTGAAGCAGACTAACATGAAAGAAGAGTTTTATGCAACGAGAAAAAAGAAAAAGTTTAGAAACTTTCAAGCTCTTGGGCTAAATGTCTCACAATATTTTTGCCCATGCACCAGTTCCTCTAAAGAGTTATGTTCCACCGGTCACTACCGATGGCTGTGAATCCTCACGTACTGAAAGCACTCTTCTAAGGGAACGCCATAAAGCACCTCAGCCGAGTTTCCTGGGGGCAACTGACACCCAGGACCCTGCGCTTCACGTCCGATGGCATCTCTGCAGCAGCGTCCAAGGCTTTTCTGGCTGGCCTCTCCCAGGACTGGGCTTCAGATGCAGCTGCACGCCCAGAGGAAAATACTTTCCAACTGCTGCATCGCAGGAGACCAAAACAGAAAATCAAATGACCACCGGAGGACTACAAACCTCAACATGAGAAAAACCTCTCCAACAGGTACCAGTGGTTTTTTTTTTTTTTTTCCGTTTTGCATTTGATGGGGTCTCGAAATCACCCGCCGCCTGCGAGACTCCAGTCTCGCGGAGGAAAGGCGGCACCTGTCACTTCGCTCAGCGACCCGAGCCCCACCCGCCCGACACCTGTCAAGCTGGAGCCGAGACCCCTCCCGGCCGCCCTCTCCTCGCTCCCGAACCCAGACTCCTGTCAGCCTCCTCCGGGCGCTCCGCGGCGGTGGGGCACCGGGAGAGTCCCTACTCCTGCCGGGACCCGGTCCCCGGCGGAGACGCGCCCCCGCCTAGACGCCGCGGCGCCCGCCGACGCACCCTCCGGGCGCCCTTCCTGCGCGCCGCCGGCGGCGGCGGCTCGGCTCGCTCACCTGGCTAGAGGCAGGTCCTCGGGGCCGCTATCCTGCTCGGGGTCCTCCTCAGGAGGAGGCGGCGGGGGAGGCGGCGGGGGCTCCGCGGCGGCAGCGGCGGCTGCTGCTCTACGGGGGGTTTTGGGCGGCATGACGCCCTCGCAGGGCAGGCGCCGGCGGACGCTGGAGGAGGGCCGGGGAGGGAGGACGCGCGCACGTCGGGCACGCCCCGTCCTCTGCCGACTCCCGTTACAAAAATAATTTGAACGTCCCCTGAGAAAAACCGGACGAGCCCTCCCCCGCCCGGCAACCGAGCGCCGCGTCCAACCGCGGGAAAACGTCACTTCCGCCAGCGGCGTCACGTCCGCGAGGCTCCCGGGCCCGCCGGCGTCGGGAGGGCACCGGGGTGCCGGGCGATGCGCGGGGCGGGGGCGCGGTCGGGAGGGGAGCCCTGGCCTGGGCCCAGGCGCCCGCCCAGAGGCAGCCGCAGCCGCCTGAACCTGTCTCTTCCCGAAACTCGCCCTTCCAGGCGTGGGTTCCGGTAACGGGACGCTACCCAGCCTGGTGGGCGAGCGCAGGCCCCATCACTATCTGCGGGTGGATCCGGAGCTACGGCGGAGGCCCCGCCGGGAGTATCTGGCGAGCGCACCCGGGGCGGGCACGCCCCTCTGCTCCGTGGGCGGTGCCCTCCTTCTCGCCCGCAGTCCTACCGCCCAATCCGTTAAGCGAAGTCGTCCGAAACAAAAACAAAAACTTCTGGAACACCTCTCTGGAGCTGAATTTTGCCAACCCTTAGGAGAGACCAAGTATGGGACAGTGACTGGCCTTTTAGAGTTCTTTTGGGGAAGGGGTTGGGCAAAGAACTGATGACAGGGTGCTAAATGATTTAACAGGGGTGTAAAATCAGGAAGCACCCTCGAAATGTATAAGGGACAGCTTCAGAGGAGCAGTGGCATTTGAGTAGAAGTTTGCCCGACGGACCTAACATTTGAGGAGGACTTTGTGTACAAGGGACTGTTCTGGCCACTTTACATAATTGTCCTACTTAATACTCAGAAACAACCCTTTAAAATGAGTCGTAGTCCTATTACACTTTCCAGCTGGGAAAACAGACTCGGAGGAGTTAATTTAACCAATATTACAGAGCTGATGGGTGATGTTAGGTGAGCCGACGCGTGTTGTGAAAGAGTTGACCGAAATATTAACAGGGGAAGAAAAGTTAGTTCTTATTCTCTTTCCTAGGGAGGAAAGGGGCCAAAAGCATAGAGTGGCGTTGCCCCTGAAGGGTGGGCGTTTGAGTCTTTTACTGAGTCTTAAAGGGCAAGATGCAAGAAAGAGGGGATGGGTTGATATCTATTCTGGTCCGCAGTTGTCACCAGGCTGGCTGTGCTTCTATAGGATGTGTTTTTTCTGAGAATAGACTTGTTGTCTTCAGTAATTTTCCAGTCCTTGGGTGTCTGAAAGAGACTTGATAGTGGCCCTTGACAGACGTTACTTTATTTTGAACAATGTTAAGTGGGTTTACAGGTGGTAGAGGATTTGAACCCAGATATATTTGACTCCACTTATCCATTACATCGTGTTAAAGAAAACACCAAGAGAGGGAAACAGCATGTGCAAAGGCACGAAGACATCAGAGAAGAGTTTGCTGGAACTACCACCATCAAGCATTGGCTTAGAAACTGTCTCTTGTCTCTTGGTACTTGCTTATAATAATAGATTGCCTAGTTTGAGTACATGTTTTTCTCTCATTGGCAGATGCTGTAGGTTGCCGGTTCAGAGCCTCTCAACTGAGGTGCTGTGAATAAAATACAGCTGTGCTCTGGTGTGAACCCCCCCCCCCCGCCGCCATCCTTGGAACAGCTGAGCAAGGCTGAGGCAGCAGCCCCAGGCAAGTCATAGCTCTTGGGTTTATCCCTGTGTGTCGTACAATGGATTATCACTTTCTGTGTATGCCATGGTATATGCCAGAATGTGAAAAAGGGGTGGCAATCATTGGCCTGCTCAACAGCTGGTTCTGCCTAAGTTCAGAAACCCTCTCTCGGGCACTAAAAGTTTAGCTGGTGGTAGGGTCCATGCCCAGGCCCGGCTACAGAGAGCACGTACCATCACAGTGGTAATTCCACTCACCTTGCCCAGGATTAGGGTAGTCAGGAGCACAGGATCCAGTTTTGGTCTTTGCAGGATCAAAGAGAGGCTGCTGGGAGCCTGCTGAAAAGAGATACAAGGATGACATAGTTCTTCTACCCCTTAACTATTTGGAGGATGTGACACTTGCAGTTGCTGCAGCCATTGTGACTTAAGACAAGCTGACCTGAGGATGAGGCAGAAATACTAAGGATGGCACAGTAGGAAAATCAGAAAATCTGGGTCCTTGGTGACATAACAGCCTCTGATTTGACCAACCCTGCAGCTGACCTTAACAGAGCTGGGGTTTTCAGTTGTTTCCACCAAAAAGCATCATAACTGATAATATTGCTCCAGTGAACCCCTTCAGGATAGACAGCCATCATTGAGGTTGCCCTTAGTACCTAGCATGGTGTTGGGCACACAGTAACTGCTTGTTTGCTAAAACTGGGGAGGGAAGGAAAGCAGAGGAAAGTTCTAGGAACTGAAGTAAGCTCTCTTCATATATAGATATGACTTGCTTTGTTAAACCCAACTTATCGACACCTGGGTTTACTATAATTATGATAGCTCAAGAGAGATTTCTCAATTTACAAAAGGATGTGTATTTTTACCATGGATTACTTTAACTATGTTCCCTAATATAAAGTCCTCATACCAAACTCAGAGGGAACTGAGTCAATAAACATCCTTATATTCCCCCACAGCTTTCTGTTGCACCAGCAAAGAAGTGTTAGAAATTCTGCAGATTCTTCAAAGAAGTTTCCCCTGATCTTCCTCTACCTGCATAGTACTTGTAAGATTACTGTAAGACAGAAAAAAAAAGTCTGTCTTAGATTTTATACCTGGAGATAGAACTCTTTTCAGTTTGAGGCCCCTTCAAAGATATCAGAATTTTTTTTTTAGTCTCCCCTAGTCTAAGAAGTCTTCCTTCGACTTTTTTGTAAGCTACCACACTGTTTCCGTTTCTTTCCCATCTAGCTTCTTGAAAGGGTAGTCCCCATTTGTGCTCTCACTCTCCCAACTCCTCAGCCTGCCTCTCTTTGACTGCCACCACCAGCACTCCACTGAAACCACTCTTTCAAAGGTCACCAGTGTACTAATTGTCAACTCATGGCTTCTTTTAGGTCCTCGACCTACTTGACCTTTCTTGCAGTTAACACAGTTAACCACTTCCTCTTTCTTAAAACTTCCCTAGTCTTCCACAAATCCATGATCTCCTTGTTCACCTCCTCTCTTCTGTTACTTCATAAGCTCCTCCACTAGTTCTCCCAGCAGTGCTGTTCAAAGTGTGGTCCTTGGACCAGTGCCAGTCTGTAAACTGCTCGTGTTTAGTCCACAAGGAGATAAGTACAGAGGTTAAGAGTAAATGCTTAGCAGCATTTATAGGAGTTTCACATTTAAGCAATATCCAAGCATGTGATCATTGGACACCCCTCATTAAACGGAGTATAGAGTGGTTCAGATGTTCTCCAACCCGCGTGGTGAGTTGCAGGTCAGTGGCATGATTGTGTCCTTGTCATGTGCCGTAGGACTACATTAGTGAAGGAGTGAAATTTTTAAGGTTAGTTTGTCAACTGTAACCCAAAAGTGAATACAAATCTTGAAAATGTAAATATTTATTTACTTTTATAACTTGTTATTTTTACAGTCATTTTAATTTTTAATCAAGCCCGTTTTTTGAAATTCATAGCCAAACTTGGGAAGTAAAATTTGTGTCATTTGTTTTTAACCCTAAATTGTAGGTGGTGAAATAAGCCTCACTGTCCTGTTTCATCAAGAAAAGACACATCAGTAGTGGGTTAGTAATAGTAGTAGTAAACCAAATAATAACCAGAGAAGTGATTCCAAGAGTTAAAGATCTGAGTGTTTGTACGAATTTTACTCAGAAATAATCCTCCATCTACTGAGCTCACAGCCATAACTCATACTAAAGTACTAAAAGTAAAGTACTAAAAAGTACTAAAAGTACTAAAAGTCATGAACTGACTAATGAAGCAATAAAGCTGTCAAATTTCAATGGCATTTACATATAAAATATAAAGAAACTAACTATGAATGTGATAAAACATTTTGAATTTTTATTTTCCATGAAAATAAACACACATAGGGAATTCATGGATCCAGAATCTATTTCTTTCATTGAAAGATAATTTAAATGTAACTATAACTTAATAGGCTACTGATGAAGAATTGAAGATGAATTTTGAAAATAAAGCATCGTTTGCTTCATTTGAGATAAAAATTAAAAGTGAATATCTGAGCTTGCTGAAATTGTTTCAAAATCTCTTCTTGCAGGGAATTCCCTGGCGGTCCAGTGGTTAGGACTCGGCACTCTCACTGCTGGGGCCCAGGTTCAATCCCTGGTCGGGGAACTAAGATCCCGCAAGCCGCGTGGCCAAAATAAATAAAGAAATAAATAAATGAAATAAAATCTCTTCTTCCATTTCCTTAAACATACCTTTGAGAGACTGATTTCTCTGCTATTAGTGTTTTCAAATACAACATAGAAACAGTTTAGATATACATTACCTCCTGCTAGTGGCATTGTCAGCAATCCAACCTAGATTAGAGGATTTAACAAGCAAGAAGCACATTCATTTGTCATGTTAAAAACTTTAAATATTGACAAACTTAAAATATTAAATACTGTCATAGTATTTAATATGAGAAATTGCCAATTCACTACCAACCTTTTGTTTAGTTGTTATGACCATGGAATGATAGAAAATGAAGGGTGTATTAGCAATTCTCTATATTAATCACCTACGTGTACACTTTCAGTGAACAAAGTGCAGTTTCTGTACTTTTTTCTTTTATTCTATGTTATTTTTTGTTTTAATTCTGTTTTTTGAAATGTAATTTTTTGTCTGTTTAAAATACTTAAAGCGTGAGCTTGTGTTTGGTGTGCCTTTTTTGTTTTCATTTGATTTTTCTAGTACTTTTCAAAATGTTATTTTCCGAAAGTTTATTTTTCATGAAAAACTGGAAATTAAAAGAAAGGAAAGTTCATTCCTTCACAGATAGTGTAAGATAGCACTGGCCTAGGAGATCTTCAACTCTCTTCTCTTCTTGTTCTATTTCATTTCCATGATTTAAATCACCTCCCATATGTGTGTTCTTAGATTCTTTCTGGTTTCAGGAAACAGAGACCTACTCAATTTACCTGAATTATTCAGGGTTTATGATTAGTTTAGGGGAAAAAAGTGAAAAAGACAAAAAAAAAAAAAAAAAAGAGTCCCTGCTGCTGCATTCATGTATCTTGTCATCCATCCAACAGCAGGCAATGTGAATGTTGTTATTCTTCATCTCTTTGTACTGTTCTCCTGCCACAATGACCTACTCTCCATGCCATCAGTTCACACTCATGAGGAGAGAGCATATGATTGATTTCCCTACTAAACTGTAATTTATACTAGCAGGATCAGACAACATAATTTGCGGAAATGAAAATGCAGAGGCTCTTGTTCAAAAATTATTGAGACTTTAAAGATGGTGACAGCAGAACACGAAACCAAGCACAAGGCCCGTCTAACATGGAGTGTTATAGAAGTGCATGGCTCACGTGCCTATAAAGCCAGGTCTGTCTGTGAGGGTAGATCTATGTCTGTTCTGCTAACTAGGGTGCCCCCATGCCTGGCACGTACCCACCACACTGAATAGTTGGGCCTGATACCAAAGGGTAGCTACTTTAGTACTATACTATTATATTAGTTTCCCCACCTTCCCTGCCCACTCCCCTTTGTTTTCACTCCCGTTCTCTCAAATTGCCTTCACGCTCTATTTTCTAGAGAACCCAAGCTAAAAGATGCGGCATCAGGAGTGTCCTGCAGACAATAGGGATGGGATATTGGAGTTGAGTTCCTCACTGATTTTGTGGTGATAAAGACCCAGGGCATGGTAAGTGGGACCATACAGTGATATCATAATTACTAAGCTTCCCACCTGTGGCCCATTGGGGTGCAGTGCACACAGACAGTGGGGCGCTGGAACGTGTGATAGCTGTGGTGCTTGAACAGTATGGGGATAATAGGATAGAATGGATTCTGTTGATGGAATTGTAAACCTTGCAAAAGAAAATGATACCTCAGTGCAGCCAACTGTCACCTTAAAGCACCCTGAGCAAGTGAGAGGGCCTCTCCTGGCAGTGTTTTAAAAGACTGATTTCCTATAGCCTAAAGCAAACTATACTAAGAATCAGGCCTGGGACCTGATTATAAGGGCAGCAGAGCTGAAAAAGCAACTAAATGCATAGACTTGAAGGGTCTCCTATGTCCACATTTAGTCCCTGAAAGGAAAAAGAGAGCTAAGACCTAGGAATGGGACATTTGAGTGGGTGACCCTGAGAATACTGAATCCCCCAATTCTCCCCTGTGGGACACTGGAAAAAATTTAGCAACCGGCTCTCAGGAGGGGGATGCAGGGAAGGGCCATATTTGTAGCATTTGCCAATTTCTTTTGAATAAACACTCACAACTTAATCAATTTCAAACTACCAACATAATGTCACTAAGCAGAGTTGAGAAGAGATGCACACAATTGGCTCCTGAGAGTTGATAGGAGCCAGCTCGAACCCACCAGTGCCCTGAACCCTCTGGCTGGTAAAAACATCATCTCTTCTCTTGCCTGTAAATCATGCAGTGACTCCTGAAGCAAGTGGCTGTCCAAAGGGACTTGCAGCCATTTGCCAGTGTAACTATGCACTGGAAAAAAGAAATGCCCAGAGTCTTCAAGAACTGTTAGATACAGCATCTGAGCTAACACGATACCATCCTGATTCTCCAGTTAGAATCGGGACCAATGGAATTTTGGCTCAACTCCAACTTATAGTAGGTCCAGTAGGTCTATGAACACATTCTGTGGTTAAGTCACTGAATGTATAATTAGGACAGATAACTCTTAACAAGTGGCAAAATCCTCACATTGGTTCCCTGACCTGTGGAGTACTAGCCATTATTTAGGATGGGCCACGTAGAGGTCCCTGAAACTGGCACTTATACCCCCAAGCCAGGAGAGTAATTTAGAAGGAGGACAGTATCTTAGAAAGAATTGTGAAGACTTACATCACTATCAAAGATTTAAAGGATGGAGAGTTGATGATTTCCATTATATCCTCATTCAACCAATTCTTCTGTCTGACCCCTGCAAAAATGGGATCATGGCAGATGACAGTAGGCTACCATAAGCTTGACCAGTTGATAGCCCCATTAGAAGTTGCCATGCTTCATGTGGTGTCTTCACTAGAGCAGATCAACATGGACTTTGGCATTTGGTATAGAGGTATTACTTGGTAAATGTGATTTTCCTGAGTTCCATCAGTAGGAAGGATCAAAACCACTTTGCCTTTGTATAGAAAGGATAGGAGTACACATTTACCTTCTAGCCTCAGAGCTCTTTTAACTCTGTCCTCTGTCCTGGTGAGCATGAAAGGGCAAGTAATCTAGATCAATGCCTCTTAAGCTATCTGTGGTGAAGGACCGTTTGTTTGTTTGTTTTCAATATGCTTGAAGTAGTAATTTTGGAAATTGCTGATCTTACCCGGTACATAACTTACTGCACATGCTAATCACCACATGAGTTTGACAGTAATGAAGATGATCTGTACCCTGTTCAATAAGATGAGTCTTCTGATCATGTTCTTGGAGGTCACAGCCATGTCAAATTGCTATAAAAGACTCTAAACCTAGATTTTCAAATTTCTCAATTTATCTCACCATGAGCCAGTAACCAAGAGTTTACCATCCAGCACCAGTCTGTAGACTGCACTTTGAATAGCACAGTCTAAACGGCCTAGTAAAACACATGCATGTTGCAGAACACAAGATAGACTCTAAGGTAATCCAAGAGCTTGCCACATCAATGAAGTTTTTATGATTCCAATGTTCTGGGAATGCTAGGAATATCACCTTTAATGTAAAGAACAAGTTGTTGCACCTCTCACCTCTTACCATTAAGAGAAAGACTCATCACTTTGTGGACCTCTTTGGAGTTCGAGGGCGGCATATACTGTCTCTGGGAATATAACTACAACCCATTTATATGACTTATAATTGCTAGTGGGTGCCCAGAGACATCTCTAGATCAGGTCCAGGCTGCAGTGCAAGATGCCCTGCTACTTGAGCTGTATAATCTAGCAGATCCAGTGGGATGAGAGGTATTTGTGGTATGTGAATAAGTGATGTATAGTGTCTCTGGAAAGCCCTAGTATCAGTTATAGCCCTAAGTTTCTGGAGCAAGGCAATGTCTTCTACAACAGAGAATTACTCTCTATTTGAAAAATCAGCTGGTTTTGCTCCTGGGCCCAAATGCAGACTGAGTGCAGACTGAATGGGAGACCAAATGCCTAAGCAGTAGGAATAGCTCATGAGCTTATTATGATCCACTGAATTATAAGGTCTGGCAGGCACAGCATCAATCTGTGGTACAATGGATATGCTACATTCAGGATCAGGCCCAAGCAGAGACCAACAAGGCATGAGTAAGTTATGTGAACAGATAATCCAACTCTTATATCTCAAACCTCTCCCTCAGTTCAGTCCTTTGGCCTAAGGGGGCTCTCTAAGACCAACTGATGGAGAAGGAAAGATCTTGGACCTAGTTTACGTGCACTGCTTAATGCCCCAAAGTACAGTGATGATGAGAAATCCTCCCTTGGGCAGACTTGTGAGCAGTATACCTGATTACTTCTTAAGAGGAAGAAGTGGCCTGAAATGTGGATCTACATGAACTTCTGGGCAGAGATGAATGGCTTGGCTAGTTGGTCAGAACCTGGAAAAAAATGATTAGAATGTTAAGGACAGTTTGGTCTGGAAAGCAGAATATGGATGGATCCAAGGGAGTGAGGATAAGGTGTTTATATCTTTGTGTCTCATGTTAATTTTCACCCGAGAGCATCTATCACAGAAGAGGTTCTCAGGCACCAGGTGAACAAGATGACTGGTCTTGTGGCATCAGCTAACAAAAAGATCCCATGATAGAGAGGTCATGGTGGCAAGGATGAAAGTCTTGCATGGGTCCAAAAATATGGACTCCTCACCAATTCTGATCTAGCTAGAATTCCCAACTTGCTATTTGCAGAGACCAAAACTGAGCCATTGATAACGGCATTACTCTTTGAGAAGACCAGTCAGCCACTTGTTGGCAGATTGATTACATTGGACCCGTTCTACCTTAGAGGAGGCAGTGATTCATCCTTACCAGACTAGTACCTAATCTGGTTATGAATTTGCCTTCCTTGCCCTCAGTGCCTCTGCCAGCACCATGACTCAAGAATTTATGGAAGCCTGATATATTGACATGATTTCTCTCACAACAATGGCTCAGATCAAAGGATCCATTTTATGACAAAAGAAGAGAAACAATGAACACATGACCACAGGACCCTATGGTCTTGCTGTGTGACTCATCTGTATTAGCTAGATCTTGTTGCATAACACAACACTCCAGACTTAGTGCATGGTTGGGCACTGCCCTACAAAATACAATATAAGCAACAAACCAACAGCTAATATATGGTGCTGTGGCCCCAACAACTAAAATATAAAGGTGCAAGAAATAAAGAGTGGAGATAGAATTAGCCCCTTGTAGTGGATGGATGCTGTTAGTGCTTTGCTTAAATCTACTGGCACACTCATCCCCCAGCTAATGTGAGTGTTGACTGAGAATTGTCCTCAACCAAACAGGAGTTGCCTCATCTATGAAATCTATACTTCCCGACCCCCAACAAACCTTAGCCAGTGATTGACTGACATGAGGGTACAAAAGGGTAGAGGAGAGACAGATGAAGATTATCATCCTTGGTGTTATCTTTATCAGCAGGGGGTTTAGCTTGACTCAACCTTCTTGCCTCAAGTCTTTTCAGAGATTGTGGCTGGACACCATCTTGAATAGGACTCTGTGACAAAATGGACTTGTTCCTTCCCCCTTAGGAAAGAAGTGAGGGCATGAGCTTCTCACAAAAACTGATGCCCTTCTTATAGTACGGGGGTGAATATAATGGGAAGGCATGAATGAAAATGAGTGGTGCAAGAGATGTATTTTATCAAACACTGCTTATGTACTCGGATGCTCTTGTGCTTGCTTCAGCAACACTTATACTAAAGTCAGATGCTCTTGGCCTCACTGGCTGCAGGGCCATTAGCCACTTGTTTTGTCCCAGGCAACACTGGCAACCAACTCCTGTGGAGTATACTGCTATGGCAACAGATTTCACATGAGCACAACCTAACGGTGGCTCACCTTATACCCAAACGATATATCTCCCATCTCCTGTCCTGGAGTTTTTCTTTAGGCAGTGAGGCATGAGATGCTGCAGGACCAGGCAGTACCTACACATGCACAACCCAGAAATGTGGGAGATTTAATGTCTGAGAAGAAAAAGTTTGACAAGGGAATATAGCAGGTAAATTCTTTATCTTCTTCTTCCCAGAACTTTGTTCTGAGATTAGAGTCATTTACATTGTCTTTCGAAAGATGCTCTCATAAGACTGAGCAATTAGTTGTATATAATACCTACTGACGTCAAGTTCATAGAAGGAGCAATGAAGTGCATGTACATGTAGGAAAAGGTCTCAAAGGATGAACAACAATGTGCAGACAGAGGTTATTTCTCTTCATTCACTTTATTATTATTATTATTATTTTTATTGGGGTATACTTGTTTTACAATGTTGTGTTAGTTTCTACTGTACAGGAGTTCCCTGTGCTATACAGCAGGTTCTCATTAGTTATGTATTTTATTTTATTTTTTAATTTAATTTTATTTATTTTTTTATACAGCAGGTTCTTATTAGTTATCCATTTTATACGTATTAGTGTATATATGTCAATCCCAATCTCCCAATTCATCCTACCCACCCCCTTTTCCCCCCTTGCTGTCCATACGTTTGTTCTCTACATCT